GATGAGCGGAGACACTAAGCCAGCGTGGGTTTCTGAGAGTGGGACGCGGCGGGTGTGTGCTAACAAAAGCGACGGGCGAGACGGGAGGGTCTCGGAGTCTTTGGAACGGGAAATCATCAGGATGGTGCACCTGGATGGTTACTTGACGGGCCCCATCAAGAGGCATCTAGTCAAGGAAAGCTTCCTGGAAGAAGCTGACTCTGCTCTAGGTTTTTGGTCCTTCAGCCTAGACTTACACCACTGTGCTGACTATCAAGACGTTTTCGTTCTCCAGCACTCGATGGGGAACTTCATGCTGTTCTGTAAAATGAGCCGAATGGTTAGTAGGCGCTGGGGTGTGTGCACCCAGCGTGTAGACAGATACCTACTCCGTTTTCTTGTGATCACAGAAACCTTTGTCCTTAATCAGTGATCCGTTTTCCAGGGCGAACTGTAGGCAGAATTATGAAGTTCACAATTATCCTGTGTCTTCTTCCACGTCTTTCTAGTAGAGTTATTAAATATAGTTATTTAATACAGTGAATACATCCGTAATCCACAGCAGTCGGTGAAACTATCTCATGCAGCAAGATGTGGGGGGCCTTGGGGGTAGGTTGGGGCTACCAGAACCATCTGAAACCGCAGGTATACATGATCATTGTATTTCGTGTAAGTTGGACTCTAGCCATTTCTCATTGCCTTAATTTTCTTACTTATAAAAATGAATAGCTCTGGGCCCACCCTAGTGGCACAAGGGGTTAAAGTGCAGCACTAGGAAGCTATCTCTATCCCAGCCACTGCAGCAGGAAGTGGATCCACATGGCCTGGGGACCCCTCCTGACCCACCGGCAGCTCCCCTCAGCAGTGTGTTTCAGTGGATATGCCTGTTCTACTTCCCCCCTGTCTCTGGTGAATCCTCTCACTCCCCCCCCCACCTCTGGCCTGTACCCCAGTTCTGTATGTATAAATAAATAAATCTTAAAAAAAAAGTTCTACTTGATGCCCACCACCCCTAGATGTAAAGGGAAAATAGCGCAGTCTTGACAGAATAGCTTCTGCAGAAGGATTCTATTCACTTGGGACACTGGCTGCTGCAGGATCTTGGTGACATTAGGCCCTCCTCACTGCCGTGACTGAATCCATGTAATCCTTGGTTCTCATTATGTAACGTCTCATTCTTAGATAATTAAAGTGAAACTTTGTCTCTGGATGGTATTTTGGAAGATTGTATAATGGCTTAAAATAGTGAGTCCTTAGTACCTTTAGGCAGTTACTTTTACTTGATCAAATACTTAATGCAGTCTATAGTATCCAATCTCTTAAACTGACAGATTTCCCTGTCACTGGTTCACACAGAGAATCCTTTCCCTTACTGGAAAACTAGACAAGTTTAGCTGTGACATTATTAACAAGGTAGGATAATTCGAAAAGTAAGGACCTAGAAACTGGACACCAGTAACATGAAAGCAAGAAATAAATTATTATAGAACACTACATTGAAAGGGATCTGAAGACAACATCCTCTCCAAGCCAGAAACTACTGGGTGTACAGTAACAGTTTCCATTCTTGGACTGTCAAGCACTTCCCGATATTTCCATGTGAATTCACTTATTAGTAATATTGCCATTATCTTCACTATTTGACTTATTTAAATGACAGGTCAGTTGATGTAACATGTTCCTATATTTTGCCATATTTTTATAAGTGTAATACATTGAATGGCATTTTGATACCAGTCACCAGCTTCACAGAGATTACCACCCAATGTATTTTTGCTTTCCTGTTCTTATTTTCTTACAGTTCTTTGCCCATCATAGCATAATTACTTGGACTGTTAGTTTTCCTCCCCTGTCCCAAAATCCTTGTTAATCTTGTCTGTGATAGGATGATTTGTTTGTGCTTTTAATATATATAATTTCTTCCAACAATTCAATGAGGCAAGTACTGTTCAACTCATATGCATTTGAAGAAACTGAGGCATACAAAAGTTTGATATTTTACACTCGGGCCAGTTGCAGAAAAGACTTGGGCATCATAATTTTGTCTGACACTAGAACCCTAGTTCTTAAGCACTATTATGGGAGAGAAAAAGGCAGTCTCTGCATCAAATAGCTGGCCTGGTGCTATCAGCTTGCTCTTGGTGTTGCTTGGAGTTGGCCTGTTAGAACTAGACCTTAATATCTCCTGTTGAAAACAGTTTCAGGGAATACCGACATCATTACCTTGATGGATCAGAACAAAAGTAAGACCATGGCATAATCATATTTGTGCAGACAAAAACATGAGCCATATCCAAGCCACTGATGAAAGGGATACACGATATAAAATAACAAACTAGTTTGAGTGGCTACTACTTTAGCCTTGGTATAACCGTCCCTCTTTTAAGATAAGTTTTACTAAGATACCCATTCGCAGAATTGCCCCTACTTTCTGACAGCATTAATTTAGAGCAAAGTTCTCCAAATCATCAAAAAGGCTCAAATCTTAATTTCCTGACACCCTTTTACTGAGGTGCCTCACATCTCGCCATCCTGTGTTCTGCCTCATGTAACGACAGGTGTGTTCCTGCTGATCTTTGACTTAGAGTTGACAGTTCTGGCCTGCCCTACACCCTGTGTGTTAATGGGATGGAAAACAATACGATTTAGGGAGTTCTTGCCAGTCAAGGAAAGGGAACTGCCCTCCCATTTCCAGCCATTCGACTTACTGCCATCTTCACTCTACAATGAAAGCATGTGGAAAGAGCAAAAAGTTTATATTGATAGAAACTGTTGAGCTCTATCAGCAAAGCTACATGGTCGCCACCCCCCCTTTTTTCCCTAAAGATTTATTTATTTATGCATACAAGAACTGGGGTGTAGGCCACAGGTGTAGGGGGTGAGAGGAGTCATCAGAGAGTGGGGAGCAGAAGTGGCGTATCCACTGAAATACACCGCTGAGGGGAGCAGTGGGCGAGACAGGAGAGGTCTTTTGTGCCATGTGGGTCAGCTCCCTGGATGGGGACAGAACTTAGTTGCAGTAACTTGCAACAGCTTTACAGCACTGTGTCTTTAATACCTGCATCACCAGGGAGGCCTCTCACCACCCTTTTTATAGATTCTACATGGTCTCTGTTAAATAGAACCTTGTCAAAAGATAGAAAAAAACTAATGCTGGAAGAGTTGGACTACTTGGTTAAAATAAGAATTCCATCTGTCATTGAGACTATGGAGCAACTAGAACTTGCAAATATTGTCGGTGGGGATGTAGAATGGTAGAGACACCTGGGACAGCAGTTTGGAAGTTTCTTATAAAGTTACACATACACTTAACTGTGTGACCTAGCAACCCCATTTCCAGGTATGAACCCAAGAGAAATGCAGGCATGTTCATACAAAAGCCTGAACACACATTATAACCAAATGTAGAATAAAGCTAAGTGCCCTTTAATTGGTGAATGGATAAGCAGAGTGGCACATGCATACAGTGATACCTGTTCAGCAACAGAAGGAGCAAACTACTAATACAACATCTCAAGTGTGTTATTCTCATGGAAAGATGCAAGACTCAAAAGTCTGCTACGACATTTTTTTTTTTTCACCTGGACAGTTTATTCCATGGCACACAGCTTGCTGGCCACTACCCCCAGAGGACCTTGTTGTCACAGCCTGGTAATCTGCATTTCCAGAAAGTCCCCTGTTGATGCAGATGCTGCTGCCCCAGGGTCTGCACGGAGAATGCTGGTTTAGAAGGGGCGGAAGGAACAGGCAGGCTCTTGGAATTGCTCGCCGCTGGTCACTCGAGCAGGGAGAGGAAAGGTGAGTAATTGTCCAAGGGTCTCTGGCTCCCCCGTCTTCAGGAATGTCCCAGGCCAGGCTGTTTACTGCCAGGTTACAAAGCCATGCACACCCGTGTGCCCTGAGCTCCTACTGCAGACATCTAGGGCACCAAGCAGTGGTTGCCTACCTGTGTGAG